TTTAGTTTTTACTCTTTCAATCTGTAATATCAAAGCAAATTAAATTATTGCAACATGTACAAACTATTTGCAAAAAAATCTCACCATTCAAGAAAAAAAAAATTTGAATTGAAAGATTTTAACCAAAATCGACGTTAAACTAACTTTTCCACTCTTTACCCGAATACTTCAACCGACTGACCACATGTTGCTCATACGCACCGGTCATTTCACAAGAGTTCCAGCAAGAGAAGAGTAGAAATTTACATCACTCATACGACTGGTATGCCCACACTCCCGTCATTTACTGTATATTATTGAGTGAGTGTTTCTCATTTCTTTATTGTCTTCATCTATTCATTTGTGTCAACGCTGAAATTTGAATTTTCAAATTTTTTCTTTCGCTTCATATACAAAGACGCATATATTTTTCACGCATATTTTGTGAGCTGCTTTTCTGTGTTTTGCTTGTTGCATTGCGCGCAAAGCGGTTGCGAACCAATTTGTTTGATCAATGATTGTGTTGTTTTGTTTTGCGAAGTGAAGGAATTTTCTTTTGTGTAAACTTGATTTAGTAGGCATAAATATTCGAGGCCATGGAGCCGAGCAGCGCGGGCGATGTATCAGCTGCAGCTGTTAACATACGACCAAAGAATATCTATGGACTGCGCACAGATGTGGTGGGTAATATACACTTTAATCTGTATCAGGAAGTCATCTATCCTGTGGAAGGTGTGCTGGCGTTCCATGACTATGTGAGCAATAAGCAGAGATTTCTCAGGTAAGTGCCTTTACAATGGCTTGTGCTATGCTATGTAAATGGAATTTATGTATTTTACACAGACTGCCGGAGGGCATATATCCGGAGTACATAGCGATGAGTGTGCAGCGCAAATTGTTGGCTATTATTGAGACCTGTCCGAAAGTGTAAGTTGAATGGGTGACATATTCACTTTTCCGTTATTTATGGAAAAATGTCTCTGGTACTTTGTGACCCTATTTTCATTTTAGTAATTACAGTAATTGAGGGATCTTATACATTCCTTTCATTTGTTTTTCACTTTTATTCATAACCGTCACCTTCGATCATTTGCAGTGGCACCTCCATCTCAATCTATGACTTGGCAACACTCAAGAAACGACGCACTCTGCCATTTCCGAACGCCAACGCTAAAGCAGCATTTATGGCGTTCACCTGTGATGCCAAAACGATTGTGCTCCTCACCAAACCACCCGAGGAGACCTTATATATGCTAATGCTGGACAAGAGCGGCACTGTCATCGAGGCGCGTCCCACAGCAAATATGGCCAGAGGCAATGTCGAATGTTTGGCTTGCAATCCGCAAGATCATTGTCTTATATCCGTAGCCGGCGACGGTGTGTTGCTCTTAATGACCAAGTCCGAGAAGGGCATAAGTATTACCAATAACATTAAAGTCGATTTCCATACCACTTCGATCGCCTACATTGCCTCCGATTTGATATTGATCGGCACCAGTCACAATGAACTGCTGTTGATAGAGAACGGCGAGATCAAACAAAGACAGAAGGCATACGATGCCGATCTTATCGATATTATATGGGATCAAGATTTGTTGAACAAAGAATTAGAACATAAGATAATGACCGACAAAAAGCTCATCGATCAACGTGTTCTGTGTCTGACCGCATTTCCACGTGGTTTCGCCTTTGTCATGTTCAATAAGGTGTTCGTTTTCGAGCGTGTCTCCAAATTTAAGTTGGAACGAAAGACTGTGCTAACTATACCCATTGGTTTCGCGCCGGAGCAAACTTATCAAATTACAAATATGGCGATTTGCTCGCGTCAAGAGACGGTCATTGTGACGACTAAGCATGCGCAGATCTATGTGGGCATCTTGATTGTGCCGGAAACATTGAAGGCCAAACAATTGCAATTTCAACCGCTTGGCGCATGGATCCACCTGGCCGAGATCACCAGCATGTCGGTGTGCGCATGGAAGCCGATCATTATGACAGCGTGTGAGTAGATGAAGAGCGTGGGTAAAAGTATAATTGGTCATTAACTTATTGTTGTATTTGTAGCACGTGATCAGACTGTGCGCATTTGGAATTACGAAACGGAGAAGGTCGAATTGGTGCGCAAGTTTCAGGTGGACGTGAATATCGTGGAGCTGAATTCGACCGGTTTGATGGCCGCCATTGGATTCTCGGACCAGCTGCGCATTACACAAATATTCATGGACGAATTGAATGTAGGTGAATGGTGGCATAACTGAAAAACAAATATCTAGTTCCTTTCTTTTTTCCAAGATCGTTAAAACATACAACTTTCCACGCTGCAAGGATGTCAAGTACTCGAATTATGGTCATTTCATGGCCGCCGCTTATGACAATATCATTAGCATAACCTCGGTTTACAATTTGGACATTTTAAAGCAATTAAAGGTGAGCCAGAGTCGCATATGCTTAATTTCTTCATATTTCTTCGTCCGTTTGTAACGGCTTTGTCGTATCTAGTCTTGAGAACCCGATTCGTTATCATGAGTAATGATAACACACTATTTGTTTTAGGGACACAATGGCTTAGTGCTTTCTTTGGCTTGGACCGGCACGGACAAATATCTTATATCGGGTGGCGCTGAGGGCGCGATCTATCAGTGGGACGTTGAAACGGGTACACGCGTGCAGGAGATTGTGCAGAAAGGCACCGAGTACCGTTCGGTCTGCTGCACCTTCAACGAACCACTCTCCATCTATGCGGCAACAAACTTTGGCGTGCTGCGTGAGTTCCAAAATTCAGAGATCGTACGTGAGATTGTTGTACCCTCCAAAGTGCGTGCGCCACTGACAGATATGTGCCTGTCACGCTCGGATCTCATTATGTTTGTGGGCAATGAATACGGTGACTTATTCAATATACAACTACCCTTCATGGACGCAGGAGGCGCTTCTTGTACGCTCTTTCGTTTCTTCACAAGCCAAATCAACAAACTCTTCTTCTCGTATGACGGCACGCTGCTATTAGCGATCTCAAAGAATGGTACTCTCGCGATATGGGCGATGGATAATATCGACGGTAAAGTCGCATCAATGGATGCAGATTTACTGCGAAGTCAAGAAGTACTTATACCACGCAACATATTACATGAGAAGAACGAACAAATCACAAACTTGGAGATACGTTTGCGTCAACAAGCCGAAGAGTTTCAATATCAGCTGAGCCAAAATGAGATCTTTGATGGCCAGCAGCTGGCCGAAGTGCATCGCAGCTATTGTCAGGCGCTCGAGGAGTTGAAGAAGAAAAACAACGAGATTGAGCAAAGACACACTGAAGAGATGAATCAGGTTACATTCCAAATAAATGATCTGCGTGACGAACACAAAAAGCAATTGAATAACTTAGCGGATCAATATTCGGAACGTATGTTGATTGAATACCAGAAGTTTAGCAATTTACGAGACAGTATGTTGGCGTTACGCGAGAATTATGAGAACAAATTGAAGACTTCCGCGGGTATACTGCAGGACACAGTGGAGGGATTAGAGACAGACTACAAACGGCAGTTGGACGAACGTAAAGAGTTGATACGTGGTCTTATGAAAGAGATGCAGGACAAAAAGATCGAATTTTTCGAATACTGTCGTCGCGTAGAGGAGGAGAACGATCGGAATATGGTGGAGATGCAATTGCAGTATGAAAACAAACTGAACAACGAACAGAATTCAACACAGTTGTGGCGTGGCAAATCAGGCGTTTTAGAGAAACGTTATCAAACACTAAGCAATGACATTGAAAAATTGCTCGAGGAGGTGGATACATTAAAAGAAGAACATAATAAATCACAGAAGAACATCACACGCTTAACGCGTTCTATTGACGACTTGCTGAAGGACATTTCCGATCGTGACTACGCCATTAACGCCAAGGAGAAACGCATACAGGAACTACTGCATAAGAATCAGGAATTGGACAAATACAAGCAAGTGCTATCGCATAAAATCGCCGAACTCAAGGCGCAAATAGAACCACGCGAGTTCCAAATTAATGATAAACGGAAACATATACTCGAAATGGAAAATGAATTGGAGGGTTTGAATCAGAACAATATACAATTAGAGTTACAACTAAAAGAACTGAAGGACAAGTACCTCAGTAACGTGGAAGAGCTGAAAGTGGAGCGGCATCGTTCGCGCGCTGGCAGGGAGTGTATTACTAGCATTTGCAGCGAAATCTATCACGTCGCGGCATTTGTAGATTCACCAAAGCGACTGCAGGTGAAGGTTAAAGAGTTATTCCAGCGTCATGCAAGTGATGATGAACTTAAAAGACATATCTCATTGGATGCCGAGGTGCGTGATGAATTTCAGCGACAACGTGCACAAATCGAGCGCATATTGAAAATTCACAAAGAACGTAAACCAACTCAAGACGAGACGAAGAAATATGAAAAGCTTTTCAAAGAAAATGTGATCCTTCTTAATGAAGTCGAAAAATTACGCGAGGAAAATGTTCAAATGCGCAATCGGTTGAAGAAGGACATGGCAAAACAAAGCACAAAAGGAAAACCGAGTTCTTAACTATTGATATAAATGATTTACAATTTACGGAAAACATAATTATTAAAAAAAAAAACAATATTTTACAAATTTGTGGGGTTGATAATCCATATTGGCAAACATGAAATTAAAAGGCATTGTTTGGTTTTGAAACTTAGTTCCGACTTCTTATTACTAATAACTTATGCTATTAACACAAAGGAGCCGCCAGACTTCAAGCGACATCTGTCAAGTATTAAAATACACACGTTCGTACCACCACGGTTATGTAGTCGTGCATCGGACTGAATAACTGTGTCTTAAGAACTTAAGAACAACAAACAAAATTTGTTTTTGTAATTTTTGCTTGAAGACAAATAACGGTATATAGAACTTTAAACAGCTTAAGACTTGCGTTTCGTTCGCGTATAACAGATACCAGAAACCAGAAACCATTATCTACTGTGAACGGCATATAAACAGTAATTAATGCAACAGCTGTTTCAAGTTTCTGTTATTATTTTATTCCACCATTTGCACATACAAATCATAAATTTTTTTTAGCTAAGCAGACAAATTCGTGCCTAAAATTAAGTCGAAAATGTTACCCGGTGTTGGAATTTTCGGTACAGGTGCTATAACAAAGGTTCTGGTACCACTGCTTCGCGAAAAAGGTTTCGATATAAAAGCGATATGGGGACCTTTAAAAGAGGCCGAATCGGTAGCCCAGTCGCAAAAGATTTCGTTTTTTACCAACAAAATCGATGATGTGCTTCTTCGTAAAGACGTCGACTTGGTATTTATTGTATGCCAACCATTTCAGCATGCAGAGATATCCAAAAAAGCTTTAGGTATTGGAAAACATGTTGTCTGCGACCGACCTATGGGCCTACATCAAGCGGATGCTTTAAAAATGGTACATGCATCACAGTACTATCCTCGGCTAATAACACTGGTTAACTATTCGCTACGTTTTCTTCCTGCATTTACACATATGAAACGATGTCTGCAAGAAGGACTTATCGGGCCTATAAATCAAATTTCTTTGGTGGATATACGCGTACAATTGGGTACACTATTTCCGGAGAAATTTGACTGGATGTGTGATGCAGCAATGGGTGGTGGAGCTTTAAATTTGGTAGGCAGTCATGTTATTGATTTGGTAAGCTATCTTTTACCACAGCATGCAGTGCGGGTACATGGCGTCGTGCGTTCATACACGAAAACAACAGCGGCTGTTAATGGCATACGACAAATTTCAGCCCCAGATTTTTGTACATTCCAAATGGAATTGGCTGGCGGAGGTGCACTAGTCACTGCCTCCTTGTACAGTCATACGGTACCCGCAAAGTCATTCTCTCAAGAGGTGTTGATTTGTGGCAGCAAAGGTCATTTAGTCGTGCGTGGCGGAGACTTATTTGTATTTAAACATAAAGCAGAACCACAACAAATGAAGGAAGAAGCAATATATGTTGATGTTCAAGATTTGCACTTTGCTACTTCTGAGTCCTTGTTACCACGTCCATATATTAAAGGTTTATGTAAAATGGTTGGAGCACTAAAAGAAGCTTTCGCCAACAAAGATGCATCATGGGTAAAGGAACCTGTTCAAGCCGCTGCAACATTTGAAGATGGACTATATGTACAAGCAGTGCTGGATGCCATCCGTAAATCAAGCGAAACAAAATCATGGCAACGCGTTAGAATTACGCCAGAGACGCCTTCGAACCATGAACAGATCATGACTTTTGCCCGCATGTCAACAATGTAAAATTTTATGAAATTTCTAACAGAGTGCGTATAATATCCACTTTTACCATTCGAGCAAAATTTTTTCATACAAGAGACCTATGAAAATTTAATTTACTTGCCTGGAGAATGACTAATTATTAATATAT